GTTGTAACAACCTGGTTAAGCTAGAGATATGATCCCAATCTTGTTAGTTAACTTGGAGATCAATTCTAAGCCTAGCCAACTCCTGTAATCCCCTGGCCTTTGAGCCCTTTATTAATACGCACGCGTCCCTGCACATAGCATACGCTTAAGCCTAGGTTTTCTACATATACCTCTTGCTCCATCATAGAGCAGTAAAAACTAGAACAAACTAGAATAAGGATGACATTAATTAATTAATTTAGCAATTTGTTCAAAGGCTTCCAGCAGTTTACATACATTCTTAGAGAAGCAAACAAGAAAATATGACAACAAATATACCACCACAAATCCATCTTTCTCAGTTGGCCTGCCCTCCCCCAAAGAACAAATCACCCCCACTAGTACTATCAAAAGCATACATAAAAGGATATCCTTCAGATTGTCATATCGAAAGGAAATAGCAGACATGAATTCAGGGTTTACATATACCATACTGCTTTCATTTATACTTGAGCGGCGATTATGTCTGTCTCACACTATTATAACCATAAGCACACACACACACACACACACACACACACAGACACACACACACACTCACTTTAGCTAGGAAGTGTGGAGCTTGTTTATTGAACGAGTAGCATGCATGCAGATAAAGGTTGCAGCCGTAGGGATAGAGCTTCAAGAGACCAGCGTCGGTTGCAGCTAGCTAGTACTCCTACTCAGGAGCTAGCTAGCGTGCGTAACTCAAGGTGTTGATTTATAAGATTGAAGATGTCTTGAGATCCACAGATCCTGAAATGGCCTCAAGAATAGGCGCGGCTGTGCGTAAGGGCCCCAAGAGCCAACCGGCGGCGATGAGCCTATATGCAGACTCAGTGAGGTGGATGCCGTCCCAGTTGATGTGCGTGGTGGCATTATCGCACGTGCTCACGCCAGGGAACCCACACGCCGCAGTCATGTTGTAGTTATACGGCCCACCCGCGCCACAGCACACGTGGAGTCCCGACGAAGCACTAAACCCTGCGACGTCCCTGAATCAGCAACTACTAAAAATTGTGTTTTGTCATTCAATCATCTTTTGTAGCTTACCGTATCTTGTTGGTTCGTTGAGAAACTCTATCACTGGAGTGTAGTAGTCACCATAGACGATCTTGGCCTGGGGGTACTTGATCCGGAGCCGATACACGGACGCCACCAGCAGTCTGTTGTGGTAGCGCGCTAGAGCATTGTATTTTATCAGGCACCCCCGACGGTCATAGTGCGTCTTGTTCGGGCTGGCGTACAAGGTCAGGACGATGGGAATGCACCCCATTGGCGGTTGCCCAGGCACCACCAGGTACCTGCCTCCCTCCTTAACTAGTTGCTGCATGCAAAACAAAACAACAAAAGCAAGCATTTCCCTTAGGCTTAATTAGCGCGCTTGGGACAAGAAAATTAAACCAAGCAGCAAGTTAATTAATTTTTAATATATATATATATATATATATATATATATATATATATATATATATATATATATATATAGGTGAAATAGATGGGGCACCTAGGTGTTGATTGTTTTGGAAACCGTGGTATATTTAATTTGTTTCCTAACTATTCTTCATGCAAGACTTTCCATCCTTCATTTTCTAAATATTAGGCATGTAAGACTTGCCGTACAATAAATCGTACTAACGTTTATTTGTTTTGAATTTCTGCAGGTATCTAATATGCGTATTTTTGTTTCCTAATACGGGTATCTGATAGCACCATACGATATATTTTTGTTTCAAAAAAATATTTTTTGAACTATTACATTTTGTTCGTATGTACATTTCTAATATATATTCAATATATTGTATGACTAATGTATGATATCCATGCTGTAATATACGGTACGATGATAAGAGTACAACATACCTCCTATTTTGTATACCCAATTTATCGTATACCCTAATGTCCGAATTGTACATATATAATTTGTCTTCCAGGCCCGGGACGAAATAATTGGTACCTCTACGCCATCTGAGATGGCTTGTATGACGTCTCGCACGTATGCCAGACCAAAGGTTTTGCCGGATGCCATGATGAAGGTGTAGTCGTTCCCTCCGAACTCTCCCATAAAGAAGAGGGATCCCCTGAAATAGTCTTTGCAACCTGAAGATCGATAAAACAGAATTTAATAGCCAATTTGTCATTCAATCCAGACTACATCATGCATGACATATAAACATATAACTGAGTGGAGTTGGTACCATGTGGTGTTGAGCACAAGGTGGGCTTGAGGTTCCGGAACCAGTTGAGCTGCACGCTCAAGGAGCTGTTGAAAGGGGGCACACTAGTGATGTTCTTCTCGTGGAAGTAGGCTAGGTCGAGTGCGGTGGCGCCGACGACAGCGAAGTTTGCTCCATGGGTGAAGTTATTTTCTTCACCAAGAATCGGGGGGACGAAAGGGAGCCCGAACTCGTCGGCTGCCAAGTTGATGGTTTAATCATAAGTCCAGACCTTCGTACGTAGTAGACACTACCTTCTATCTATAGCATACTCTCTAGACAAAGGACAGAAGCATGAGTATAAATACCAATAAAGTCCATTATGATGCGGCCATTGGAGGCTCGGCCCGTGGGGCGACCGAAGAAGGTCTCCCCGTAGGGGAGGTTGCTGAAAGGGATGACTGGAAACACAGGCGCAGCGAGCTTGACAAAATTGCCGGTGTCGGCGTACGAGTCGCCGAAGCTGAAGATTGAATGGATCAAGCGAGGACCAGGGTTGGCCTGACCGTAATGAATGCTGGCCAGGAGAGGGAGGAGGAGGAGGAGGAGGAGGAAGGCTATATGCCTTAGGGCTGAGTGATGCTCCATAGTTGTGGTGCACTGTTTCAATCGGTCGGCTAGCTGTGCTTCTGCTATGTGGAGGATATGCTCAGGTATATATATACCCATATCCCATCGCTCAATTTCTCTGAGAGTCGTGCTTTATCTATAAGTATCTTTTGCAATCATGTAGTAATTCCTGCAACTTCTTAGGAGTATTTTTTTTCATCTCCATCTTGTACCCTTGGTGTCGACCCAGCTCACGAAGCTTCAATTACTGCCACTTGCCAAATCTTGTCACCACATCTTTCAAAATCTTGTCACCAATATACGAATGTTTTAGAACACTACTTTAGTGGCCTAAAACGTATTATATTCTTTTACAGAGGGAGTACATGATTATGCATTACTGACTAAATTTCATAGCACTTGGCCAGGGAATTCTCTGTTTTCAAAGTTTGCTAGCTTAGTACCAATCCCTGGCACGACTGTTTCAAGCGAGGGGCAACAAGCCCAGCATGGGAGATCTTCCGTCGTGGCAAAGGAGCAACAAGGCTGGCATGAGGCTGAAAGACCAGCAAGCAACCCATACTGGCTTTGGCGCTGCAGGAGCGTCAGCAAGCGCAAGTCAAGGAAAGCTACCGTCGAAGTAACACGGGGTTCTCCTTTCTGTAAAGAAAGCACAGGGTTCTCTGGTGGTTTCGGACAAATCACATGGTAGAGGATCAGCGTGACATGAATCTTGTTTCTCGGATTCCCCCCCCCCCTCCCTCCCGCGGGCGTCCGGGGGGCAACCCTAGCCTACGCCGCCGCCGGTCCCCCCTCCCCTTCTCCCCCTTCCCTCGCCGCCGCCGGAGGGCGCGAGCGGGCGAAGTCCGCTTGTCGCTGGCCGCGGCAGGGCCTTCTCGTCTCCGCCCGTGGGGGTTTC